GTTTGAACTTAATCGGTCCATGCATGTTCGAGATACAGGTGATCACGGACGCACGGACGCACGGACGCACACAGGGCAAAACATAAGTCCCCGTTTTCGGACTGCGTCCGAACGGGGACTAATTACACATACATATGTCTGTAAAATATTTGTTTATTTTTTCATAAATATTGAACATAATCATCAAAAGTCAAATTCTATCAATTTAGCCCCAAACTTACAGTCAGCCAGAAATTATTTGAAAGCACTATATTTGGTGTACACGATTTCCAACAGTGTTAAACATGCAGGTCAGCGACTGAACATGGAATAGAAGCAAAAAATAATTATTAAAAATATTTGAAATCATGCATTGTTACTTCATATCGTAAATATCATTGAATTCTATACGCATAAAATACCTTCAATCATTAATGTCAAAACTACATCATTTTATTTAAATTCAGCTGTTAGGGGTTTTACTGTTTAAAATCTATACAGTATATATTTTTATTGACTAGTCAATTGTAAATGTTCACCATATGAGCATAAAGAATAAATTCCTTTTCAAAAATACTCAAACAATTGACAAATATGTGTTCTATTCAGTTGCTATTAATAATAATAACATTCATATATGATAGTGACTTGTTGTGATAAGACAACTTGAAAGTTTGACACTAAATTATACATTAATCTACAAAATGATATGACAATACTTAGCAGATAGAGCTAAGTGTACGGTATTGCATGAGAATTCACATCAAGAATCTGAATGTTACCAGAACTTAGACCCCTTACCTTTATCAATCCTTTAATGTAATTATGATAAGTCATGAAAGCCAACATAAAAAGAACTTTCTGTCAGTAGAGCTGTTCTGTATTTTAATTGGCTGTGGTAGATGCGAGATACACATTTGAATTTCGTGTAAACTTAGAACAGAGAATATATAGTAAATGTATCGTAACAAAATCCTCTATTACCAACATGTGTCAACAAACTCAATAAACAAGTGTTTTAGGATTATTTTAATTGCCAATTTTAGGTCACCAAATTCTGTAGAGTGTGCTCAAAGACTGTACCTAATTCACTCTATTATACGACCACTGCTCGACTTGCATACAGGTTACTGCGCAACAAACAAACTTATTAGTTATTTCACTGGTAAGCTGGCTTTCGCCAATTATATACACACATATTTTATTTTATCGAAAAAAAAAACAACAAAAACAAACAAAAGACTGTATGCAAGTCTAGGTCAATGCAAGTTATAGCAACGTACAATTGTAATTGATTTTGCATAAGAAATGGAATCATTTAACAATTTAGTGTTCATCATAAATTTGCATATAATTACCATATACCCTAGTAATTTGCATAATTTGATTTGATTATTATTATTTATTGTGAAATGCCAAATTTGGCATATTTCCATATACTGTATTTGCTCTATTAGAAGTGCATTTATATAAATGCAGTCTTTTGGGTTGGCGTTTCTAAGATGCATGTCTGAATATATGAATCTGAACACTAACACACTGATCACATTATGAATAAACGGAAACAATAATTAAAATTTCATGTCAGTAATTACACAAACGTGTTATGTAGACAATGGAAAAAACAACACTTCCAGAACAGTGACCTGTTTCACTCAATAAAAAAAAAAGTGCTACCAGAGTTGCGACCACATATATTTTATCTTCTACCCCCGGTAGTAATTTTGACAGATGAGAGTGGAGTTCCTAAGTTGTTGTCCTTCTTCAGGTGCGAATGGTTTACAAGCAAATATGTGTTTACCTACGCTTAAGTTAGCTATATTAAATAATATAAGTCCATACATTCTGTACATGCAATATTGTTGACACCATCACTAAGGGTACATTTATTCGTCAATAACTCCTGCAATTAAATTACAAGTGATCATATGCATGACAAGAAGCAGTACAAGATTCAACACGAGTCATAAAATCAGGTCCTATATTGATCACCATGACGACTTTGATCCATTTCAATCTACTACTTCCTCCTCACATTTCAAACAAAATGCCAGTAAATGTAAATTTCTAATAATGTATGGTTTTTGCAAAATCATATTCAAATGGTACCAATGTCTTCATAACATTGAATTATTGTGCATATATGAAGCTACTGAGTGTACAGAATTGAATGTTGTGATGCTAAAACTGAATTCCCTCCCTCCACATGTATAAAACCATATATGTCTGTGATAAAATTAACAAGCTTGGAAGCATATACATATATATATAAGCTGAATTATACCACTATGCACCCTCACTGAACATCGCCCTCCTGCGACATGCAAGTAAATAACATAATAGAGTGAATTTTTCGATCTGAATAATACTTATTTAAATTAATAGTTTGCTAAAAATATAAAATGCCGTCTTAATTGTTTCTACTTGTGATAAGAATTGTCTTGAATTAATTTGTAATTTACTGTTTAGGCTTGTTGACTGTAGCATACAGCGGTTCCTGTATCAATAAAAAAAAAAAAAAACCAATGAGAATGAGACAATAATGTCTTCTCTGCAATCAACTACCAAGCATGTGAGTGAGCAAATGTGCAATGCATTCTGGGAGAAAACTTCACATAATGGAAAATATAGCACCACACTGGAATCTCACTAAACGCCAATTTTATTTTTTGGAATTTTTATAATTGATATTAATAAGCTTTCATCATTTCATTTAATGTCCAAATCAACATTTTAAGATATGATCTCTTTCACTATATCAACCAGAATAAAACAAAAATAAATTTTTTACATTTTTTATGACATTTTGACTTTTCTTAATTTCTTTCATTTTCATTTTCTGTAGAATAATGGCATGAATTCATTGAAAATACCAAAAGGAATATAATCTTTAATTTGAAAAGGACTTTCTCAAATAAAATATGGTCTCACAAAATTAATAATGTTTTTTGGTCAGTTTTTCCAAAACATGGCAATGGCGTTTTTTTCCTAAATTATTTGGTGGTGTACAAATTTTGCAGATTTAATCAGTTTGTCAACAGCGAGTGCTGTGCAGTGATTGGTGAAATAAGTTAAATAGCCATGATAGAACACAGTTCTTTGAAACATATACCAGTTCCCTATGCTTTTAAGGTTGATGAAATTTTTCATATGTGCCTAAAGTCTATACATGTGGTTGAATTTAACAACACAATTCACTAACTGTCTACACAAGACCAACTCACCTCAGCAGCGGGACCACCAAACAGGTCCAGATTATCGAATGTGCTCGACTGCGCAGGAGCCTGAAAGTGACAATACATATTTATTATGTAAAAGTGAATACCAGTAGGTGATGCTTTGAAAAATTATAATGAAAGATTCACAGTAAAATTTATCATTTTTTTCACAAAATAACAGTACCGGTAATACACACACCACATTTATAAGTGTTGAGCCAGAGTAACGCGTTACTAAAACCAGCACATGGCGAAGTGTTGCAATAATGGCTTAATAGACCAAATACAGCAGCATTTTGGAACAGCATACTAACCTTACTTTATAAAATGACACAACTCCACACGACCTTTGACCGACAACTCCATTTTTGTCAGCTTTCACAGCATCATTTTTTTCATAATTTTTAACAAAACCTGCAGCCAATCGCAACTTATATAAATTCGATCCAAAATACATAAATATTGTACCAGAATTGTGGCAGGAGAAGTGGTTCTCCAATTTTATCATTGTTTTATAAAACAATAACCCCTAAAAGTTACACATTCTGGTATTTTTTTAAATTTTTTTTTAAAACTTTTTGACTTTAATGATAACTGCATACAGCCTGGATGCTTACCGTTTTACTTGGAGGTGCAGCTGTTCCACCACCAAAATCAAATGCATCAAATGGCTGATCTGCGAATGCATTGGAGCTGCCGGAAGTACCACCTGTTAGTCCTCCTACAGAGAAGGGATCAGGTTTAGAAACAGCGCCTTCTGCTGGCACAAATGGATTCCCAGTTGATGAAGATAATGGTGGTGATGATGAAGATGATGATGATGAAATATGGTTGACTGGAGATGAGTCCATTACAATAATTTTACTTGTGGTCGGCGACTCAGCTGTAAATGGGTCGTCTGCAAAAGGATCTTCGTGAACAGGTAGCAAAACATCATTAGTGGTGTTAGCGGCAGTGGTAAATGTTACAGTATTAAAAAGATCATTTTGTGGAAATAAATTGGCAATGTTATTGCATGCACTGGGAACGCTGGAAGACAGGTTAGTGTCTGCATGAGGGTTGGAGCTAGAAAGCAAAACATGCTGATCAAAGAGAGTATTAATAGGAAGCGACGTAGATTGTGTTGACTGAGTCATGCTCGTGCTGTTAGTCGTGCAACTACTAAAAGAAAGGGTTTTATTGTTTATGGAGTCACATGCACTGGAAGAAAGGGAAGAAGGATTAGAGGAAGCACTGGATTCCTGTAAGCTAAAAGTGTTTGGAAAGTGAGCTGCCGCTGAACCGGAAGATTCACAAGTTTCAGTCCTGTTTTGTGGTGGTTGTTGTTGGTTTGTATGTTGGTTATCTATCCGAGATGGGATGGGTATGGGATGTGTGACGTTATCCTTAATTCCCAGGTCATTATCACCATGTAACCTTGGCGGAACAAACGGTGGAACATGAGGTTGATTATTAAGCTCTGATGACATATTAACAGCAGCTGGGGTGGCTCTTGGAGGCAATGGTGGAGGCATATCTGGTGAAGGTAAATTAAAGTCATCATTACCCGATGGGCTAGTCATCATATTAGAGCCAAATAAATCAACCGGAGGTTGCTGACCAACATTAGTCCTTGGTGTTGACACTGGTGGTGCAGCCGCTGTCGATTTGCCTGGTACAGGGGGAGGTGCCCTGGCTGGACGAGCTCCAAGACTCGCAAACACATCACTGACTCCAGAGTCTGATTTGCCCAAGATGTCCAAATCGCCAAATGGATCTGCCTTTGGTTTTACTGGTTGTGTTGGTGGAGGAACATAACTCTGAGAGTGGGATGACATGCCACCATAACCACCACCCATAGCACTACCCATACTGTAGCTGGTAGGTGCATTGAGTGCCATGTTAGTCGCCATCTGTGTCCCTATCATGGGATTGCCACCCATTGGAGCTGCCATGGTGTTACCACCCATTGGAGCACCCATTTGACCCATATTGCCATAACCCATTTGTCCATATGCAATAGGCTGTTGCTGTTGTTGTTGCTGGGGCACAGACTGTGCAGCAAACAGATTAGTTGTAGTTGATGTGGTACCAGGCTGTGATTGGAATGGATTGAACAAATCCTGACTTGGCGATGACATCGCAGAACTCTGATTGATAGGTGGAGAGCTAAATCCTGAACTATCCTAAAATAAATAAAAAAAGAAACATAATTGAAAAGTGAGTATCGGTATTAAAATATCTACTTTTTTCGCTACAGGTTTGCATAAAGAATGGACAGGCACAGCGACAATGTGGAGTCAGCACCATTTCTGTTTGCTGCTTCACCAATACTGAAGCATCACTGCAGCATCACTTGTAACATCATTATGCACTGTCTGTTTTGTGATCAAACAACATGTTTCAGATAAAGGTAACCATGTTTTTAAGGAAATATCTCGGGAAACTTCTTTCATTAAAAATTATTGCAACATTATGTGAGAAACGTAAACACTAGCAAAGTGTTCAACAATTTACTCAGACCCTTTGATATTCAGTTTTAACAGCTTTTATTGGACAGTACTTTACTGAATGACCAACTTTATAGCAGTGTTACACGCAAGATAAACTGGCACATGACACCAAATGTGCAACAAGCTATGCTACTTGTACAGTCACCATTAATGCAAGTGCCTGCGGCAGATCATTCCACCTTATATTTGCACCCCTCTATTGATAAGTTTCAATCTCTGCTTCATACTGACTACATTTTCTATGAGTATCTGGGTCATATGTAGTTTTATCTGCAACCAGTAAGTCACCTTAAAATGTAAATCAAAACTAGTCACTACAAAAAAGTCAGGAGAGACAACAGTGACTTTCAATGTCCGGAACTTTCACCTGGCACAAATTTATTAAAAAAACACTGGGGGTGCAAATAAAGATGGAAATGCTCAATGACATTGCCAATAAAAAAACTGAACTTACAGACTGGGGTGAGAAAAAGTCACTACTGCCACCCATATTGAATGGATCAGCTGGTTCAAATGGATTAGGGGTCTTGTTGGCTGATCGGGTTCCATCTGGCGTAGTACCTCCAGCTGAAAATGGGTCTCCAAATGCCTCCATTGCATCAATGCCCTAGAATGGAATGACAGAATTACTTCTAATATTACAGTTGACTTCCCAGGGTACTGCTCACTAACATGTAACAAAGCAAGGCATTTACTGTATACATTTCAAATACTGATACAATCTACATGTATGTATTCTCAGGGTGGACAAACATTTTGGGTGGCATTTTCACCACCTGGCAACCATCATTCGTAGAAAAAAAAAGGCAGGAAACTCTCAGAAAACTGTACTTAGGACTGGTTGTTGAAACTCTTGAACAAGATTACCACTATACATGTATCTGCAACATATTAGGTTGCTCAGGATTGTTGAGTTTGTGCCGTTTTCCCCTGACTGTTTTCAGCAGCTTCTCAATCGGCATTCCACAGCAGCTAGCAGATAACCATAGAAATACATTGTACAGTGGTGCCCAAGCAACATAGAATGCTCTGTGACGTAGTTCCTCCCCTGAGAATAACATAGCTTTTGCACAGACTATCCTGTTCTGAATAGCATGGTTCTTAGATAGGGGAAACGGTGATGATAGAAGAGAATGGAACACTACATGAGGAGTTAAAAAACGAGTTGTGCATGTCTCTCTCTCTAAACAAGATCTTAGCAACCGTTTGTGTCTATTAGGTCTGTTGAATGAACCAGCTTTCACAGTCATCTGACAACTGTTTCATCTTGTGTGCAAAGAATGAAAACAAATAACACTGCAGCTGCAAAAATCTCAGATAAAGATGCGACTTATTCTTACCATCTGAATATTCTTCAGTTCGTTTTCTAATTCCACTAAATTTCCGCCTCCTGTAGTTTCCTCCTGAACAATTGAAAAGAACATTTGATTGAATAAAAATACTTGTAAATATGTACATTATAAAAAAGATGATTCTCAATAACAGTTTTGTACCACTGGAAAACAATACATCCATTCAACCCATGAAGTTTTAATTTTAATGATTATATATATTTTTTTTTAAATTCACTTATTTTATGAAGCAGAAATTTGTCTATTTGAGAATATACTGGGATAACAATGTAAACGTCAAGATTATACAATAGAGTGGTTAGCTGCATTCAGTAGTCCATGGTCTAGTTCATGGTGACTGAGTCAAGTCGGGTCACCTGTGAGTGGAACCATCTAACCTGTTCAAATGTAACTGTGTTTCCTAGTGTTGGTAATGCTTCAATTGTCTCTTCTTTTGATACTTCACCATTCTGAGTGGCAGGCACTGTCTGAAAAACAGAACATGTCTTTCAATGATGTATATCTTCAACAGTTACCCCTGTGTAGTTTTTAATTCTTAGTTATTAAACTTAGTGATACGAGAAAATGTCAAGATAATTAATATTTAATTAGGTTATTAATTAGGCAGTTCAATCATCATTCACATGGTGCACATGATATTGTCTGATTACATTTGTTCGTTACATTTAATGTGTTCGAAGTCAGTTTCCGTTTTGCACAGTCACTGATTAGAGCCAAATATACCGGTAGGCAACGTTTTTCCGGATTTTAGTTTTTCAAATATTTTATCCACAGTGCAGTGGTATGTGATAGATATTTAGAGGACAATTAAGATGGTTGTTTCATGACTGGTTATGAGAGAGTCAGATGATTCTGTAGCCTTGTGATCTTGAAGTAAATCTCATTATCCAGCAAAATTAAGTTGACAGTTTCAGTAATGACTAAACGTTTAACTTCAATCATGAAAACAACCCTGATTTTTTTGCACGTTTTGAGATTCAAGCAAATAAAGACACACAATGTGCACATTCATATCTCCCCTTGCTGCTCACGCGAAGGAGTCCCAAGCGATGATAACCACACCCTAAAAAGCAAAGGCTTATGGGTAGAAGATGTTTGTAAACAATGACACACTATGGCCATCTGACGCATATGCAGGTGACGACTCCCCAGCTTGAAACAGACTGGAATACCTACACAAAAGCACCCCCTATAGATAATAGAGCGCCCTCATGAGGCAATGAAGTAATACCTGTCTTCTCACCTCATGTGTTTCTTCTGCGACATTTTCATCAGGTGGCTCATCATCATACATTGGCTTCAAATACAGAACAGTATCAGAAGACTGTCTTTTCACTTCTTCTACTTCTTTTGTCTTCATATCAAAGACAACTTGAAATAGGTCTTTCAATGATAAAACTACATTTTCAGACTGTAATGAAAAAGGCCATTATTGTAATAAATAACGATTTAGAACCACGGTCTACAAGAATTCAGAAGATTTTGAGTAATGCAATCTTGAGGGTCGTGTCTCTGATGTTTAATTTTCAATAACATCAGTCATCAATGTTTTGGCACACTGATTAAACCTTATTAGTTTTTGTTCAAGAATGTGTGTGTCACAGGCTTTTGTTAGGATGTTATCAGAGTTTTCCGAAGACTGGAAGAAAAAATTCTTTTTCATAAAACTTCATAATAAAGCACAATTTCAACCAAGTTACATGTATCAAGTAGTCGGTGAGGTGTGCTAAGTCACTGAGCTTAAATTTAACCAGTGAGTACAACTGATATCTTGTGAAACGATAGTTTTTATATAAATAGGTGCAAAGAAGAAGTTTTAACAGAATGGATTATATATAGTATATTCAAACCAGAGTACATAATTGGGTGCCAAATTGAACAATTTTAAAATTGAAAAACAAATCAATGTGCATAGTGTAAACTATTTTTACAAATTACATGAGTAAAGAAAATTCATGAAATTGTCAGTGTCAGTGACTTTTGTGAAACTTTGTCATCACAAATACCATGATATTATCAAATCACCCATTATACATTGTCTTAATTTGTACCAACTTTGAGCAAAATCAATTCGGGAATGTCTGAGAACAGACGAATTTTTGGACGGACACTAGAAGTGTCAGCTTTGGACTGTGTCCAGTGGAAACAAACATCTGGATACATTGATTTAAACGACAAACTGACCAGAAATTTTCAGACCAGAAAAGTCTTGTATTCTTGTGGAACAAACAGACATTGCATGCAGTCCAGTCCAGTCCAGTCCAGTCTAGTCCAATCCAATGGTAGGAGTC